TCCTGATCAGCCAGATCACACGGACAGGAAGGCTCGTCGCCGTACGAGGGTAAATAAGAGTGGTTGGGCTGGCTTGCTCGGTGACAACTTGGGCACAGGGGTGGGCCGATTCACACACGAAGACACTGCTCGCTCAATGATGCTATTCGATATGTTGGATGGAGGGGAGGGTAGGTTCTAATTGGTGCTCAACTGTATACACAACCATACCCATCAGTCATACATCTGCTACATTGTCTTTTTGTACCTTTGATTAGTTGGTTGACGGACTGCTAACCTCACAGACAGATTAGTGTAGGACAGTAGTATGCTACCATAGCCAGTTTTTATTAATGCTGCTGTAAGTGAACCAATCAGGGTGCATCTAGACTATGTAGACAATCTGTGTGAATGTTGTAGACATGCCACTTAATTCAGTATAGTAGGGTACTCGCCGGACAAAACTATTGTTAGAAAATCAGGTGTCGGTCAGATACATGCTGTGGTAGGATTCCACTAGGGGATTCTAGTGCAGAAACTATCTGCCTAACTAATGAGTGGGTCAGATCATGTTGATGATAGAGCAGACAATAGAAGACTTACACGTGCAGATGCACTAAGGGTTCCGCACGTGTTCAAGACCTTAGACGAGGGAGAAGAAAGACGGCTTCGTGCCGAACGTAGAACCCGTGCTCTAGCAGCAGGACTAGAGGAAGCAAACAGAGTAGCAAGAGAGCGGGCAACAGCAGCCAGAGCAACAGCAATGGCTAATGGTACCAGCTCTGCTGTGTCATCGTCTGCGTCCTCGTCAGGGACTAGTGGGACTCATTTGGGAATGCCACTGAGTTCCACAAGTTCCTCGGGCACTTCCGGGTCAACAGGGTGTAGACAGTCTTCTAGTCAAATGGCGGGCTCGCAGTTCAGCCCGTGGACCCCGCGTGAGAGGGAGCTCAGAGAGATCCAGCAGGTCGAGAGGCTCCGCCAGCAGTTAGAGAAGGATCTGAAGAAAGCAACCGATAGAGAAAAAGAGATAAAAAGTAGAGCAGCCAGACTTGATACGTTAGAGGCTGACAAGGCTGCGTTAGAGGGATTGGACAAATCGAGTTTGTCTGACACCCTGAAAGTGTTGAGGGACAACATGTTGTCACTGCATGCGCACGTAGACAGCAGGATGGACTTCATGCAAAGCACTTTGGACCAGATCCTGGATGCATTGACAAAGCCAGGATTCCGGCCACCAGCACAATCGTCGTTGCCGTTACCGGCAATGTCAGACCCTTTTGCCGTACAAGCTGGCACACAGCCAAGTGGCATATCTGCAGCAGCAGCACAGACTGTTGCATCTTCGGGTCCAGTGGTGATTGCTGCATCACCACAACAACATGTTCAGCCAACTCGACGGCCGCAAGGTCAATGGTATCCCAAGACCCCAATGAAACCGCCTCCGGCCTTCTCAGGCGAGAGAAAGGACGAGGAACTCAACACTTGGTTAAGGACAGTCCCGGTTTGGGTGAAGGCCAAAAGGACCTTGCTTGAGGACGAAGTGGTAACTGCGGCGTCTTACCTTGAGGGTAAGGCAGCTAAGTGGTTAGATGGTGTAGTTGTGAAGGCCGGGTACGGGAGACGCATGGCGGATTGGGCWAAGTCTTTGACTTTAGACCAGTTCATGGAGATGGTAGAAGCTCGATGGCATAACCCACAGGAGGCTCAAAGGGCCACTGATGCCATTAACAAACTGGACCAACGCAAGTTCAGGTCAGTTAGGGAGATTACGACTACCGTTGAGAGCCTGATCCACGTCCCAGGTATCAACTACATCGACCAGTTCCTGTTGACTACGTTTGTCAGATGTCTCCAAGAGAACATGAGTGACTTACTAGCCAGCGAGGCACGCACTGAGTACCACTCGTTTGAGACATTGTCTAGGAAAGCCTTAGACTTAGAGGCCACACTATGCAATGCTCAACCCACCTCAGGGAATGACTCAAAGAAGAAGAAGAGTCCTCAGGAGTGGAAGAAGAAGGGGGCGAAGTTGATGATGGTTGAGTCTGATGGGACTCAAACTGAGATCGATGAGCTCTCTGACCTGATGGACTACTCAGAGTATGACGGCGAAGAGGTAGCTGAGGGTAGCACCCTCGCCGAGGTAGTTAAGACTAAGGCGGCAGGCCGAGGGAAAGGCCAGCCTAGGGGTCAAGGGAAGGCCGCCTCCAATCAGACCAAACAGGCCAAGTGGGTAAAGGCTGGTCTTGATCAAGACGTGTGGCGTGACCGCCGAATGCGTGGCGCTTGTATCAACTGCGGAGAGTACGGACACACGCAGTGGAAGTGTCAGAACGCTAAGGTTGCGCAAAAGGTTGCGCCAAAAGTAGGGGCAACTTATTCCCAGGCTTCTAGCTCGGGAAACGCGTAGGGCCAGTGGAAGTAGTAGCGGCTTCTACTCAAGATGAAGTGGGCATGATACCCTCCTCACTTCATGACAAGGCCGAAGCTAATGACTCCTTAGTCACCCCGCAGACGCATCTAGACCAAACTATGCTAGTCACCCCGCAGACGCATCTAGACCAAACTATGCTCTGTACGTTAGATGTGTCTGAGGCCTTAGAAGACTTAGAAGGCGAGTGGTCAAACAAGGACCCTCGCGAGTCTTGGGTGGCGTTAAAGAAGGGTACTAGAGGGGAACATTTCGTGGTGGAAGTGGATGTAGGAGGCCGCAAATGTGGAGCCTTCATAGACAACGGATCCACGCGAAATTACATAAGTCGCGATTGTTTGGAAAGGCTGCACCTACAGGAACGGGTACGACACCTTAGTAGACCAGTAGCATCTACTTTGGCCAACAAAGAGCGCATGATTGTCACAAACTACATCAAGGACGTAGTCTGTACCTTCTCCTATGGATGAGGAGAGCTTAACCATAAGATCTCGTTCTTGGTTAGCGACGACTTGCCATTCGAAATGTTGTTAGGCATGTACTACCTCGAAGTTGCTGAGCCCCAGTTCGACTGGGATAAGAAGGTGCTTAAGCATAAGTTGCCCGATGGCCGAACTATCAGATTGACTAMGTTCAAGGCCAGCAGTATTGTAGATACCTATGGCTGCTTGTGTGCATCAGCGTTCTATAACTACTACAAGCAAAACCAAGAGGAAGGTATGTACCTCGTTTATGTCTCTGAGAAGGGGGAGGTCGTTAAAACACCCCCAGAGATAGAAAGCGTCGTTGCTAAGTTCCCCGATCTGTTCGAGGAGCCCTCGGGAGTTGTTGATAGGGAAGTTGTCCACGCTATAGAAATCATTATAGGGAGTAAGACCACAAAGGAAAGGATCTATAGGATGGACCCTGCCGAGTTAGATGAACTTCGGAAGCAACTCAAGGAGCTGACATAGAAGGGATGGATTCGGCCTAGTACTTCCCCTTACGGATCACCTGTGCTATTCGTACCAAAGAAGGGGGGTACTTTGAGGATGTGCATTGATTATAGGGGCCTCAATGCCATCACGATGAAAAACACAGAGCCTCTACCTCGCATAGACGACCTATTGGATAGGGTGCAGGGATGCAAGTACTATACGAAGATAGACTTGAAATCCGGATATCACCAGATCGCAATAAGACCTGAGGACCAACACAAGACAGCTTTTCAGACTAGATATGTGAGTTTGTAGTGATGCCTTTCGGTCTTTGTAATGCGCCGGGTACGTTCCAGCACGCTATGAATCGGATCTTCCATGACCATTTAGATAAGTTTGTCGTGGTTTACTTAGACGACATTCTGATCTTTAGTAAGTCTGTCGAGGAGCACGCACAACATGTTAAGACAGTTCTCTCACTCCTGCGACGGCACAAGTATAAGGTCAACTTAGAAAAGTGCGAGTTTGGTTGCACTAAGATACTATACTTGGGTCATGAAGTATCCGCGGAGGGGATTAGGCCAGAAGATGCGAAGGTGGCTAGTATTCGAGACTGGCCACGACCTCAGACAGTCACTGAGGTCAGATCATTCCTAGGAATGTGTGGCTACTATAGGAACTTCGTCAAGAACTATTCTACAGTCGCCTCTCCTTTGACTGATCTAACTCGACTTGACACACCGTGGGACTGGAGTGATGAGTGCGAGGGTGCTTTCAAGAGATTGAAGCATGCACTCATGAATCATGAAGTTCTCATGGGTCCCGATCCGCAAAAGTCATTCATAGTGACCACTAACACAAGCCAATACGGTATTGGCGCAGTGCTGGCTCAGCAGGATGGGAAAAAGCTGAGACCGATTGAGTACATTAGTAAGAAGATGCCATCGAAGAAGTTGGCTAAGTCCACCTACGAAAGGGAACTCTATGCTCTCTACAAGGCACTTGTCCATTGGAGACACTTCCTTCTAGGAAGGTTCTTCTATCTGAGGACTGATCGTCAGACCCTCAAATGGATCAAGACTCAACCGGCTCTTTCTGATGCACTCAAGCGATGGATTGAGGTCATAGACCAATATGACTTCAAGCTTGAGTACCTGAAGGGAGAGTATAACAAGGTTGCAGACGCGCTATCCCGTAGAGCAGACTACCTAGGTGCGCTAGTTTCTGAATTTGGCATATCTAATGAAGTAACTCAATCATTGGTGAGAGCCTATCAGGAAGACCCTGTCACGATGGACATCATCCGCAAACTTCACGCAAAAGACAAGGCCACAGAAAGTGAGTTTGTGATGGTGGATGGGCTAATTTATCTTGATAAGGCCGGAGTAAAGAGATTGGTAGTTCCATCCAGTGAACAGTTGCGTAGTTTATTTTTAGGAGAATGTCATGACACAACTGGGCACTTTGGCTACAAGAAGACGAGTGTTAACTGAGTACAGCGATTTTGGTGGCCCAGAATGTTAGATGACGCGAAAAAGTATGTTGAGACCTGTCAGGTCTGTCAGCGGGACTCAAGCACCGCTTGGGTTATTGAAGTCGTTACCTATTCCTGATGGTCCAGGATTGACTGTTTCCATGGATTTCATGGACACTCTTGTGACCAGCAAGTGTGGTAAGAGGCACATCTTCGTCATCATTGACTGATTCACCAAGTACGCTAGACTAATACCTTGCCAGAGACAGCCAGGACAGAATACGTCATCAAGTTGTTCAAGGACAACTCGGTGAGGGACTTTGGTTTACCAAAGACCATCATTAGTGACCGAGACGTCCGATTTACAAGTGAGCTGTGGAAGAAGACTGCGGAACAGATGGGCAGTCAACTTCAAATGACTTCAGGGAATCATCCCGAAGCCAACGGACAAGCTGAACAGATGAATAGAGTTGTACAGCACTTGCTGAGGCATTACATCAAGCCCAGCCAGGATGACTGGGATGAGCAGTTACCTCTCATCGCCAGCCTGTACAACAATGCTATA